CCTTTGTGGGTTCAAGGAATTTTGTTTTCTCGTGTGTGACCTGGTTCTGCCTTATGGGGTTCCGGGGTCTTCCTGGCTTGCAGGCTGATCTTTTGGGTTTTGGCACGTGTTGTGGTCATGCCGGGGCTTTGGGTTTTGTTGTCGAGGTGGACCTTTTGATGCAAATTTGTGCTTTCTTTGTGCCTTCTTTGCCTGGCCGGCGTGGTGCTCTCTGCCCACTGGTCGGCGGCTTGTATTTTTCTTTTCATGTGTATATGTGTGTGTACACATGTACATGTACATGTGTATACTTACGTGTGTGTGTGTGTGCACATGCGTGTATATGCAGGTGCATATGCCTATATGTGTAATACACCTTTGTGCGTATTTATTTATTTATATATATATATATATATATATATATATATATATATATATATATATATATATATATATATATATATGACAATGTCAGACCACGGAGGAAAAATGAAACAGGAAATTTCCTTAAGTACTTTCGTATATTAAATACACCTTCTGAAGATGTATTTAATATACGAAAGTACTTAAGGAAATTTCCTGTTTCATTTTTCCTCCGTGGTCTGACATTGTCACATTCTTAATCACGTGTTTATCTTCGTGATAAACACACATATATATATATATAAATATATATATATATATGTCGTACCTAGTAGCCAGAGCGCACTTCTCAGCCTACTCTGCAAGGCCCAATTTGCCTAATAAGCCGAGTTTTCATGAATTAATTGTTTTTCGACTACCTAACCAACCTAACCTAACCTAACCTAACTTTTTCGGCTACCTAAACTAACCTAACCTATAAAGATAGGTTCGGTTAGGTTAGGTAGGGTTGGTTAGGTTCGGTCATATATCTACGTCAATTTTAACTCCAATAAAAAAAAATTGACCTCATACATAATGAAATGGGTAGCTTTATCATTTCATAAGCAAAAAATTAGAGAAAATATATTAATTCATGAAAACTTGGCTTATTAGGCAAATCGTGCCTTGCATAGTAGGCTGAGAAGTGCGTTCTGGCTACTAGGTACGACATATATATATATATATATATATATATATATATATATATATAATACTTTGTCCTTCGGAAGGGGCTCTGTTCCCTTCGCTGTTGACGGGGCACTGGGGGAGCAGCTTGCTCTGTTGGTTCTCGCATGGTTCCGCAGTTAGTAATTACCTAAGTGTAGTTACAGGATGAGAGCTACGCTCGTGGTGTCCCGTCTTCCCAGCACTAAGTTAGTGGGCGCTTTTGGTTGTCTTCCGGCCTCTGGTAGCAGCAGCGGACAGCTTCTCCCCCTTTGGGGGGGGCTCAGGGCTGGCATGGTGGGCTTCTTCTCCTTCGCTTTGTCATGTCATCTTGGTGGATGCGTTGGACGTGGTCGATCCGCCCCATCCTTCTGGGGTTCCCATTTGCTCTATGCAGACACGGGCCTGGCGAATCTGCATTTCTTCTGGACTTCTTCAGTCTGCGCCCTGGATTCTATGCCCTCATCGGAGGACTGTTGTCTCCGGTCCGGCTTCTGTTGGGGCCGGGTGCCTGGATGGTGACCCTGGACCTCTAGGTTAATTCTTGGCACGTTCCTCTCCAGTTTTCCGGGACTGGCTCAGTTGGTGGTGGGGCTTCAGGCTTGCCGCTTTTGTTGCCTTCCCTAGTTTGTAATTGTCACTTGGTGTATTTACACTTCTTTACCGGATCTTGGTGCCCTGTCTGAGTCTGCTTGGGATTCGGTGTCTGGCCTACCTTGACGACTGGCTGGTGTGGGCTCCCAGTTGGTCCGCTTGTCTGCTCGCCAGGGGGGGTGGTTCTTTCCAGATCGCTGGGTTTGGTTTCCTGGTGATCTGGAGGCTGTTCCATCTGCTTCCATCCTGGGTTTGGACCTGGCTGGGTCTTGTTTAGGGCTCTTGGGCCGCTCCTTGTCTTTCCCTCCAGAAGTGTTGCTGCGGCTGTGGTCCCACCTTTGGTTGTTCATGAGGGGGTCCCGGGTTGCTCGGTGGTTGCTCGAGCAGTTGTGCGGGAGTCTGAACTTCGACGTACTGTTCTGCCCACAGGGCCGGGTTTAGCTTCGGCGTCTGTTTGGTTCCATCGGAGACTCCCCTTCCACCTCTCTTGAAATTGTTGGATTCGTTCCTCCAGGGATCTTGTGTTGGTGCTGTGTCACCAGCTTCCTCTTTGGGGTTTTTGGGGTTCCGTGCCTTGGCACCTCCCCAAGCCTTCACTCGATGTGTTCATGGACGGGTCATCTCTCGGCTGGGGCTTTGTGACCAGTGCTCGCCAGGTCGGGCGGGGATAATGGGGTCTGTGTGTCCGTCGGGCTCACAGCATGGCTGAGGAGTTCGTGGCTGCCTGGTTTGCGCTTCGCAGGGTTCGGGTCACTCGGTGCTCTACCATTCAGCTCCGTTCAGACTGTTCTCTGACAGTTCTTTGCTGGAACCACAGGGTTTCTCTTAGGTGTTTGTTCTTTGGGGTTGGTCCCTTCGAGTGGCTCATTTGCTGGATTCTCGGGGTTTGGGTAACCATGAGGTTTTTTTTTTTTTTTTTTTGAGATATATACAAGAGTTGTTACATTCTTGTACAGCCACTAGTACGCGTAGCGTTTCGGGCAAGTCCTTAATCCTATGGTCCCTGGAATACGATCCCCTGCCGCGAAGAATCGTTTTTTCATCCAAGTACACATTTTACTGTTGCGTTAAACAGAGGCTACAGTTAAGGAATTGCGCCCAGTAAATCCTCCCCGGCCAGGATACGAACCCATGACATAGCGCTCGCGGAACGCCATGTCCGCCATGTCCGCGGAAGGTTCATGTCCAGGGTGTGTTCTAGGTCCTGGCGGACAGCTGTCTTGGTCCATTCCTCTGTTCGCGGATTGTCCAGTCGTCGTCGACTCGTTTCGTTGGCTCTGCCAGACGTATGGACTCCTGGTCATGGACGTCTTCAAGTCGGCGTGGTCTAGGCATCGCCCATTCTATTTGGCGCCCTTACCCGCCTGCGAGGCATTCATTGTGGATGCCTTTCGGCAGGACTGGTAGAGATGGGGGTACCTGTTCCTCTTCTCCCGGTCCAGCTGTTGCTTTGGGTTCTGGCTCGGTTGGAGCACATTCCCAAGAGAGTAGTCCTCATGATCCCTTGGTGGCCGGCCCAGCTTTATTGTCAGACGCTGCTTGATAGGTGTCCGAACCCGGGGCATTTTCCCGCAGCTCTGCCTCCTTTGGCAAGTTGGCTCTTTGTGTCTGGTTTTTGACGCGGGTATCACCATCTCTGTGGTGATCAGGTGGCTTTGTTGATGGTGTCCCACCTGCGAGCTTCGTCTCAGCGACAGTTTGATGTTCCTGGAGTTTCTATGCACCTTTTTCTTGCTCTTCATAGGTTGTCTTCTCTTTCGCATCGAGTTGTCTTGTCCTTTCTTTGGTTTTCAGGACTACAGTTATTTGACGTTTCTTACTGTCGCCTAGTTTTGTCCAGCGCTGGCGGAGCCACTCCGGCTTGAGTTTGGGGTGGAAGTCACATCTGCCCTGTTCCGTGCGCTTTCTCGTGTTTTGTTTCACCTCCGGCCTGCTCATGCATCGCCTGTGCCGTCCTGGTCCCTGATCAGGGTGCCCTCTTATCATCTCCTCAGTTTGTGGTAGCCCCTTTGATTCAGGTTTCTGGTCTTTGGTACTGGTGGTAGGTTTGTATGTTTGCAGCCTTTCTCCGTCCTTCTGGCAACGGTCGAGACGGCTGTTTTCTGGAGAGGTCCTTTGGTTATTGATGCTTGATTGGTTCAGCCGGGGGTGCATCCTGTGTTGTCTGGTTGCGCTTTTTTGCTGTTACTTGTGTACCGTGTCTGGGGATGCGCTTTGGGTTGATACGGTTCCCCTCGTTCCCTGTTTTAGGGCTCGGGTCTCTCAGGTCGTCTGCAGAGTTTTTAAGTCTTCCAGTCTGCAGTCTATCCTTGCACCCGTGCTGTTCGGACGTTTGCAGCTTTCGCTGCTGTGTTGGTGATGTCTAGGGCTCATTTTGGGTGCAAGGATTTGAGGGTAGCACAGGTTCCTGGCCGCCCGTTCTTTATGCGCAAGTCTGCGCCTGTGCGTTCTTGTTGCCTTGGGTCGCAGGTTGCAGCCTGTTGTCTCGGCCTTGCGTTGCAGAGTTTGTGGCGGCCGCCTCCCAGGTCAACCCTTTCTTCTCCTTCTCTTTGGGTATGAAACTCCAGGGAGCCTTAGGGGCTCCCCACAGAAAACCAGCGTTGAACGTAATGAAACGTCATTTTCTGGGTGAGCCCCGGAGGCTCCCTGGCAACTCTCCCTCCCACCGGTCGGCGGTTTTTTCGCATTGGTTGAAGCTTAGCTTACGAACTGATGCTAGGCAGCCGGCGCGGTGAGGTCCTGGGCTTCCCTTTCTTCTTCTCGGGGCAGGGAGGGCTGCATGGACCATCAGCACAGCAGCAAAGTGTGACGTTTGCTGCTGTGTTTCCTTGGGATTGTAGGGAGTTTCTACCTCTCTGTTCGGTTTTTGTTTTAGGTTTTTACCATGTGAGGTTTGTTTTGTTGTGCCTATCTTTCTGGGTGCCTAACCCAAGTCGATGGCAGATAAGGTGATCCCCAACCACAAGGGGGTTTTCCAGGGCCATTGCTCCCTGAAACCTCTCTGAAGGGGCCAGGTTCTGGCGTTGGTCCCTGGTAGGTCTGAACTCCATAGCTAATGTCCCGGTCTAATATAGCATACATTAGCCCAATAAGCTCCAGGGAGCCTCCAGGGCTCACCCAGAAAATGGCGTTCCATTACATTCAACGCTGGTATTTTGAGCAAATCCGCAGGAGCCATGATGAAGGTTTGAACTACTGCGCTGGGTGTTCGAAGCCTCATCACGGCTTATACAAATTTGCTCATTGATGCCTCACATTAGTGTGATTACTCTGTATTAATATTATTATTATTATTATTATTATTATTATTATTATTATTATTATTATTATATGTCATTAAGATAATTCAATATCAACAGGACAGGAGGCAAGAGGCTCCCCAAGTGAGATAAGATGGGAGAGTGCAACAGGCAGAGGGAAAACAGAACATGCACCACCTTCATTTACCTCTCAGGTAAATGCTAGCCCCTCATTTATCTCTTGAGTGAATGTGCTTTAGCTGACTCACTTTGGTAAATATGCATTTCTTCATTTACATTGGGTAAATGTTGTACCTTTGATATTAGTCTTGCAGTGCATGCTCACTCTTTCATATGCCCTTTGCAAATGCTCACTTTTTTCTGTGGGGAGCCTCTATGGCTCCCTGGAGCTTATCGGGCTAATGTATGTTATGTTAGACCGGGACATTAGCTATGGAGTTCAGACCTACCAGGGACCAGCGCCAGAACCTGGCCCCTTCAGAGAGGTTTCAGGAAGCAATGGCCCTGGAAAACCCCATATGGTTGGGGGTTTTCCTTATCTGCCATCGACTGGAGTCGGGCACCCAGAAAGGTAAGCAAAACAAAGCAAACCCAACATGGTAAAAACTACAACAAAAGCCAAACAGAGAGGTAGAAAACTCCCTACAATCCCAAAGAACAATCAAATAATCAATTTACTGCTGCGCTGGTCGTCCGCGCAGCCTTCCCCCCCCCAGGAGGGGGAGAGGGGGCCCCGGACCTCACCGCGCCGGCTGCCTTCAGTTCGCAAGCTAGTGTCAACCGGGATAGACGCTTCTCTGGCCTCAAATTCCTGGGCGGTGTTTGCCTCGTGTGGCGTTCTCTGCTGTCTTTGTGTATTGTGTGGTGACCAGGAGTACCCCATCAGTGCTGGGGCTGCATGCGCTTAGGGCTTCCGTCCCTAGGCACCCTGTGAGTACTGCCCCTGTGTGTCAGGGTTATCTTCCCTGGGGCGTTCGGGAACCGCTCCCGTAGGGGTTCTTGCTGCTTGGCATTTGCCTCGCCCTTGGAGCTAGCTGGGGCTTGGGGCCCTTGTTTGGCCTTGGGTAGGGAGTGGTGTTGTGCTGGTTAGGGCGTCAAGGTGTTGCACGGCCTGCCACCTAAGCAGCGACTGGTTCCTGTTGCCTCTGGAGACGGTGTACTTTTGCGGGGTTTTTCTTTTGTTTTGTTTTTGTTTGCCTGGTGGAGGTTCTGCCTCGTGGGTCTATAGTCCCCCTGATATTGTTTTGGTGGCCCTCTGCTAGGCCCCCGTGCTTGTACACGACCCAGGGGATTTTCAGTGTTATCATCTACCCTTGTTGTTGGGTTTCTTAACCAGTAAGCAACACCTTGCCCGGGACTTCCGTAGTTGCTAACCTACGGGCCCTGGAAACCCCTGTTGGGGCTCGGGGACCCATGGATGCATCTCCTGAGTTCCAGCCTGCCTTGTGCGGGTTTGAAGGTTGCAGTGTGCCCTTGTCTCAGCGTGACAGTCACCTGTTTTGCCTCCGTCATGCTGCCTGTTGGGTCAATGACACCTTTGACTCGGAGTCTTGCGAGTCATGTTCTCTGCTTGTGCTCCAGTTTTACTCTGAGGATGTTCCTATTAGGGTACAGGCAGCATCAGCGTTGCATGTTAGGTTTAGGTTATTGCAACGCACTAGGTTGGTTTCCCACCCGGATGCCCCGAGGCTGCCCCGTTTTGGCTTTAGGGACCCTGACCTAAGGGCGTTGTTCGCTATGGCTTTGGCTCCAGCCGTGCCCCCTGGTCCTTCCCCTGTGGTTCTTCCTCCACCCCCCTAAGTCCCGCTCAAAAACAACTGGGGGTTTCGGCTTCTGCACAGGGTTTAGTTGGTAATGAGACTCGGGCTGCCTCATCCGGGTCAGGGACGGAGGCATTTGAGCTGGTTCCTCCTGCCGAGGCTTCTGGGTCCCGCCAGCAGACCCCCTTCTTGTCTGCCTTTCCCTTGGACTCTGCCTTTTCTTCAGGGGTAGAGGGTTTGGAGGACGGCTCTGCCCCGGGTCCCGACGTGAGGGATCCTGGAGCTGGGGAGGAGTCGACCTGGGGGCCTTGGGCCCCCTGTAATTACCCAAGTGATTTTTACCTAAGTGTAGTTACAGGATGAGAGCTATGCTCGTGGTGTCCCATCTTCCCAGCACTTTTTGTCATATAATGCTTTGAAACTACTGACGGACTTGGCCTCCACCACCTTCTCACCTAACTTGTTCCAACCGTCTACCACTCTGTTTGCGAAAGTGAATTTTCTTGCATTTCTTCGGCATCTGTGTTTAGCTAGTTTAAATATATAACCTCTTGTTCTTAAAGTTCCAGGTCTTGGGAAATCTTCCCTATCGATTTTATCAATTCCTGTTACTATTTTGTATGTAGTGATCATATCACCTCTTTTTCTTCTGTTTTCTAGTTTTGGCATATTTAATGCCTCTAATCTCTCCTCGTAGCTCTTGCCCTTCAGTTCTGGGAGCCACTTAGTAGCATGTCTTTGCACCTTTTCCAGTTTGTTGATGTGCTTCTTAAGATATGGGAACCACACAACCGCTGCATATTTTGGCCTAACAAAAGTCGTGAACAATTTCTTTAGTATATCACCATCCATGTATTTAAAAGCAATTCTAAAGTTAGAAAGCGTGGCATAGGCTCCTCGCACAATATTCTTTATGTGGTCCTCATGTGATAGTTTTCTATCTAGAACCATCCCTAGATCTCTTTCTTTATCAGAATTCTTTAAAAATTTCTCACATAATATATAGGTTGTGTGAGGTCTATGTTCTCCTATTCCACATTCCATAACATGGCATTTATTAACATTAAATTCCATTTGCCAAGTGGTGCTCCATATACTTATTTTGTCCAGGTCATCTTGAAGGGCATGACAATCATCTAAGTTTCTTATCCTTCCTATTATCTTAGCATCATCAGCAAACATGTTCATATAATTCTGTATACCAACTGGTAGATCATTTATGTAGACAATAAACATCATTGTTGCAAGAACTGAACTCTGTGGTACTCCACTTGTGACATTTCTCCATTCCGATACATTGTCTCTGATCATTGCCCTCATTTTTCTATGTCAGAAAATTTTTCATCCATGTTAGAAGCTTACCTGTCACCCCTCCAATATTTTCTAGTTTCCAGAACAACCTCTTATGGGGAACTCTGTCAAAAGCGTTTTTTAGGTCCAGATAGATGCAGTCAACCCAACCATCTCTTTCCTGTAATATCTCTGTTGCTCGATCATAGAAACTGAGTAAATTCGATACACAGGATCTTCCAGATCGAAAACCATACTGTCTGTCTCATATTATATCATTTCTCTCCAGGTGTTCTACCCATTTAGTTTTAATTATTTTTCCAATATTTTGACTATTACACTTGTCAATGATACTGGTCTATAATTAAGGGGGTCTTCCCTGCTTCCACTTTTGTGGATTGGAACTATGTTAGCCTTTTTCCATACATCAGCTACAACTCCTGTAAACAGGGATGCCTGAAAAATTAGTCTGTGACCAGACTGAAAATCAGACTGCCCTGTGACCCCGCTTGGGTGCTTTTGCCTTTATCGCAGGGCTTATTGTTGCAGGGGGAGGGGGTTTTCTTACCCCCCTTCCCTGTACGAGTATGATTTGGGTTCTGCTCCTCCCCGGGTTCGGTTCCGGGCGCCTTTGGGTACCTCGGATCCGTCTTTCCAGGGGTTTTCTACTTCCCATATCTCCGCGAAGGTGGCTCGGGTAGCTCTTGCTGCATACCTCTTGCGAGACCCGGGTTATGCCTCTCCAATAGATCCGTCCTCGTTTGAGTTCGGTTCTTCTTCCCGTTTTGGGTGTGTTGGGAGGTTCCGGAGTCTTCCTGGCTGGCAGACTGCCCTTTCTTTTCGTTGGGGGCCTGGCATGGGTTTTGTCGGACCAGTACGCTTGATTGGCGGGAAACTGCTACTTTTATGCAGGTTTACCTGGGGGGCGAGTTTGAGCACCTTAATGCATTCTTATTCGCTCCCATGCTTTCTCAGGATGTTGGCTTTTTCCAGCTTCATGTGCAGGTTCCTCAGCTTTCGGATTCGTTGGTTGCAGAGGAGTTGCGCTCTCGTGGGCATTTGGCTTCGGTCTTGCATTTCTTTTCCCTTCTCGAGCTGTTTTCTGCTTTACTTGAGGAGGATGTGGGAGCGTTAAGTGAAGGGCTTTTGTCCGGGGTGCTGACTTCGGCAGCTAGGGCGTCGGCCAGCTTCTCCTAAGGGGCGTCGGCCCTTTCGCGGTTGCACCTTTGACGGGGCACTTGGGGTAGGCTGACTCTGTTTACCTATGCTTGGTCCCACGATTCGTGGGCATTTTGGGTCGTGTCCTACGGCCTGTGGTGGCGTTGGGTGGAGTCTCCTCCTTCCGGGGTTTTGGGGCTGGCAGGGCAGGCTGCTTCTTCTTCGCTCTGTCTTGTCATCTTGGAATAAGTGCGCTTGAGCGTGATCGAAATGACCCCGTCCCTCATTTGGGTTTCCCGCTTGTTTCCAGTACTGAAATGGGACTGTGCAGATCTTTGGTTCATTCAGGACTTGTCCCATCTGAACTGCTGGATTCATTGCCCCACCTTTCGAATGACTACTCTCCCAGATCCAGCTTCTCTTTGAGTTGGATTGTTAGATGGTGTATCTGGACCTCTGGCACATGTATTGGCACATCCCAATTCATCCAGGGTTCTGGGACTGGTTAGGTTTCGTTGTGGGGCAACATACTTACCACTGTCATTGTCTTTCTTTTGGCTTGAATCTGGCGCTTCGCATTTTCACAAGTCTTATCTGGGTCGTTGTGGCCCCTCTGCGTCTGCTAAGGGTTCGGGTTCTGGCCTACATTGATGACTGGCTGGTGTGGGCTCCGAGCCGGTCTGCTTGTCTGCTCGCCAGGGGTGTGGTTCTTTCCCAGCTCGCCAGGTTCGGGTTCTTGGTGAACTAGAGGAAGTCCCATCTGGTTCCGTCCAGGTTTGGACCTGGCTGGGCATCATGAGGGACTCTTGGACCACTTCCGTTTGTGTCTCCCTCCAGCAGCATTGCTGTGGCTGTGGTCCCACCTTCAGCTGTTCCTGGGGGTTCCCGAGTCACTTGGCAGATGCTCGAGCACTTAAGAGGGAGCCTGAACTTCCCTGTGCTGGTTTACCTGCTGGGTTGGGTCTGGCTTCGGTGGCTGTTCTGGTTTCTTTGGGGACGTCCCTTCCGCCTCTCTCTCTCTCGCGACCACTGGGTTTGACACTCGTAGGCTTTGTGTCGGCTCCTCTTCAGGTTTTCGGGGTTCAGTGCCTTGACGCCTCCCTGAGCCCTCGCTTGATGTGTTCACGGACTCCTCGTCTCTTGACTGGAGCTTTGTGACCAATGCTTACCAAGCCGGTCAGGGGCAGTGGACCCCATCCTACCGTCGGACTCACAGCACAGTGCTGGAGTTTGTGGAGGTTTGGCTCTCGCTGTGGAGAGTTTGGGTTGCTCGGGGCTCTACAATTCAGCTCCATTTGGACTGTACTCCAGTAGTTCATTGTCTGAACCGCGGGGGTTCTCTTCGGTCCTTGGCTCTTTGGGGCTGGTCCCTTCAAGTGACTCGTCTGCTGGATTCTCAGGGCTTAGTTCTCTGTGCAGTTCACATCCGGCAAGTGTTCAACATCCTAGCGGACGGCCTGTCACGGTTCATTCCCGTCTATGGAATGGACAGTTGATGTTGACTCCTTCAGTTAGCTCAGCCGGATGTATGGGCTCCTGGTGGTGGACCTCTTCGTGTTTGCATGGTCCCGGCGTCTCCTGATATATGTGGTTCCCTTCCCCCAACTGCGGAGCCGTCGCAGTGGACGCTTTTCAGCAGGTTCTGGCTTCTGGCGTCATACTGCAGGAGAGTTGTCCTTGTGACGCTGCTTGCTTGCTTTTTGTCCGATCCCAGGTTGTTTCCCCGTGGTGTTTTCCTCTTCCAGCAGATCAGGTCAGTCTGGTACATGACTGGTTCGATCTACTCCTCCACCTCCACACTTCATGTCTGGTCTTTTTGATGCGGGTGTATCACCATTTGTATGGTAAACAGGTGGCTTCATTGATGGCGTCCCACATGCGGTCTTTGTCTCGGCGACAGTATGAAGCCTTTTGGCAGTCTTTTTGCCTTTTCCTCTCCCTCCGTAGGTAGTCTTCTATTTCTGTTCAGGTTGTTTTGTTCTTTCTTGACTCTTTTGAGACAGTCATCTTATGCCAATTACTGTTGCCTCTTATCGTGTGGTGCTGGCAGAGCCATTCCAGGTTGCATTTGGGGTGGATGTTACTTCTGCCCTGTTCCATAAGCTTTCTCGTTTCACCTCCGGCCTGCTCATGCATCGCCTGAGCCTTCCTGGTCTTTGGACCATGTGCTGTATTTTCTTTCCTCTCCTAGGTTTGTGGTGTCCACTTCAGTTCAATATTGCTTTCAGAATTCTCTCTGTTGGCATTGGCCTCTGGGGGGGGGGAGGGGGGAGGGTCGGAGAACTTTATGCTCTCCTATGGCACAGAGGTTTCTGCTCTTTCGGGCCTGGTGGTCGGTTTCTTCAGTTGCAGCTATCTCCCTTTTCTCTGCGGAAGAACAAGATGGCAGGCTTCCGGAGGTGTCCTTGGGTTATTGATGCTTGGTTGGTCAGGCTGGGGGGATTTCATCATGTGTTGTCAGGTTGCGGCTCTGCGCCATTACCTGCATGCCTCTGTTTCTGTGGCAGTGGACGCTCTTTGGGTTGATCCAATTTCTTTCATTCCCCATTCCAGGGCTCAGGTTTCTTGGGTAGTGCGCAGGGTTATTAAATCTAGCCAGCGTGCGGTCTACCCCTTGTGGCCATGATGTTTGTAAGTATGCTGCTCTGGCTGCTGTGTTTTGGAACATGTCTTGGGCTGACATTTGGGCACGGGGTTTTGGAGGCTGAACATGGTCCTGGCTGCCTGTTATTTGGTGAATGTTCCTGGTCCCAGTCGATCGGCAGTTTCATTTTGTTTTGATGCTCAGTCTCCGAACTGAAGTGTTAGGCAGTCGACACGAGGGTCCGAGACTTCCTGTTCCCGCTCCCGGGTGCTGGGCGCAGGGAAGAGCTGCACGGACAAGTGGCGCAGCAGTGATGGATGACGTTTGCTTGTTTCCTTTTTTTGGAGAGTTCTGTTTCTCTGTTTGGTCTTGGGTTTTTCAGCAGTTTCCTACCAAGTGGGGTTTGTTTTGAGATGCCTACCATTCCAGGTGCCTAACCCCGATTGATGGCAGATATTAGATACCCCTAAATACAATGGGGTTTTCCTTGGGCCATTGCTCCCTGTCCCTCTCTGAGGGAGCCATGTTCTGGCTAGTGGTTCCCAGTAGGCAGAACTCCATTGACTGAAGCCCCAGAATAATATAGCATATATCAGTCCGATAGCACCAGGGAGCCTCAAGGGCTCGCCCAGAAAATGGCATTTCATTACATTTAATGTTTGTTTTTTATTTTAACTTAGAATGACTATTCGGCCTACAATACTTGAGTTTGTATTTGACTAATGTTACAATTTGTGCAGATATCTGGAAGGAGCCAGATGGACGACACCAATAATGACGGCTTAAGGAAAGGGAGCATTGATGGAAGTCTCTGTTCTATTACTACCTCCATCTTTCATGCTGTCGATTTAGGTTCCACTGATTATGAAACCTCCGATAACCAAGCCAAGGAAGTCAGTAAACTGGCTGGCATCCCCTCTGCAAGCAACAAATATAACAAGTGTGGTAGTAAGGACGTTGCTCAGAAGTTAGTGGACGATGACACAACAAAGGGTGAGTTGTGGATGTGTTGCTGCCAAAATTACTGCTTTCCCTCTCAAGTATAAATTAAAGTTTTTTGTTCTTTAAGGAAAACCTAATGTTAAATGTAAAGATTCTCTCTGGTTTAGCCCTGGCAGCCTACTGGAAATCATAGCCAGAACCTGGCTCTCTGGCGGCCTACTGGAGGCCATAGCCAGAACCTGGCTCTCTGGTGGCCTACTGGAGGCCATAGCCAGAACCTGGCTCCCTGGTGGCTTACCAGAACCTGGTTTCCTCAGAGATGCAGGGAGCCAGTCACAATTCGGGACCCTGTCGGGAAAGCATCCAGAAAGTCGGCGAAGTTTTACAGACAACTGGAAGGTTCACAGAAAATGAATTGTCAAAACCGCAAACAACTTGCTAACGGTTCACCTAGAACAAGAGGTTCGCTCAAACTAGCTTGAAACTTGTTAGTACTGATCATCAGAACCAAGGGGCCTGGTCCTTGCCTACATCCAGCAGTTCTGGAGTGAGTGAGTTCCATGTACTTTCCCTAAGTGAGTTTCATGTATTCACCTAGTTGTGCTTGCAGGGGTTGAGCTCTGGCTCTTTGGTCCCGCCTCTCAACTGTCAATCGACTGGTAATTACCTAAGTGTAATTACAGGATGAGAGCTACACTCGTGGTGTCCCGTCTACCCAGCACTCTTTGTCATATAACAGCCAACTGGTGTACAGATTCCTGAGCCTACTGGGCTTTATCAAATCAACATTTGAAACTGTGTTTGGAGTCAGCCTCCATCACATCACTGCTTAATGCATTCCATTTGTTAACTACTCTGACATTGAAAAATATCTTTCTAATGTGTCTGTGGCTCTTTCGGGTACAAAGTTTCCACCTGTGTCCCCTTGTTTGTGTTCCACCCATGCTAAAGAGTTTGTCTTTGTCCATCCTGTCAATTCCCCTGAGAATTTTGTAGGTGGCTATCATGTCTCCCCTTACACTTCTGTTTTCCAGGAATGTGAGATTCAGCTCCCTTAGCTTTTCCATGTAGCTCATACCTCTCAGTTCCAGGACTAGTTTAGTGGAATACCTCTGAATCTTCTTCTAACTTTGTCTTGTATTTAACTCTTGTATTGCTAAGGGAAATTTGGCCTTTGTCATCCACAGGCATATAACAAAAATTTTTGTTCTTCTTAACCTGTTAATTTGTGTTCCCTGATCATAGGAAAAATAATAAAAAAATCATAAGTGGCATATTTTGGCTGCAATAGGTCTGGTAAGTCTGGCAAAAAACCAGCGTTGAATGTAATGAGACTCCATTTTCTGGGTGAGCCCCGGAGGCTCCCTGGAGCTTATCAGTCTAATGTATGTCATATTAGACCGGGACATTAGCTAAGGAGTTCAGACCTACAAGGGACCAGCGCCAGAACCTGGCCCCTTCAGAAAGGTTTCAGGGAGCAATGGCCCTGGAAAACCCCCTTGTGGTTGGGGTTTTCCTTATCTGCCATCGACCAGGGTTAGGCACCCAAAAAAGTAGGCATAACAAAACACACCCCACATGGTAAAAAACTAAAACAAAAAAACCGAACAGAGAGGTAGAAACTCCCTACAATCCCAAAAAAACAAGCAAACAAGCAAACATCACACGTTACTGCCGCACTGATCGTCCACGTAGCCCTCCCCGCCCCGAAAGGGGGAGGGGGGAGTCCCGGACTTACCGCGCCGGCTGCCTAGCATAAGTTCGGAAGCTAAGCTTCAACCAACGCGAAAAAAAACCGCCGACCGGTGGGAGGGAGGGTTGCCAGGGATCCTCCGGGGCTCACCCAGAAAGTGGCGTTTCATTACGTTCAACACTGGTTTTCTGTGGGGAGCCCCTATGGTTCCCTGGAGCTTCAAACCTAAAGAGAAGGAAAAGAAATGGCTAACCTGGGAGGTGGTTGCCACAAACTCCGCAACATGAAGCAGACAAAACAGACTGCAATCTGTGATCCAAGGCAACAAGAACGCACAGGAGCAGACGCACATAAAGAATGGGCAGTCAAGAACCTGTGCGACCCTCAAATCCCTGCACCCGAAACGAGCCCTAGACGTCACCAACACAGCAGCAAAAGCTGCAAACGTCCGAACAGCATGGGCGCAAGGACAGACCGCAGGCTGGAAGACTTAAAAACTCTGCGGACGACCTGGGTGACCCGAGCCCTGAAACAGGAAATGAGGGGAACTGGATCAACCCAAAGCGCATCCCCAGACACGGTATGCAGGTAACGGCAAAATAGCGCAACCGGACAACTCAGGACGCACCCCCGCACCCCCACCCCCCACCCCCCGGCCAAACCAATCAAGCATCAAAAACCCAAGAACCCCTCCGGAAACCAGCCGTCTTGACCATCGCAATGACGGAGAAAGGCTGCAAATGTACAAACCTACCACCAGTACCAAAGAGCAGAAAACTGATGCGAAAGAGAAGACAATCTACGAAGAGCAAGAAAAAGTGCATAGAAACACCAGGAACGTCATACTGTCACCGAGATGAAACTCGCAGGTGGGACACCGTCAACAAAGCCACCTGATCACCTCAGAGATGGTGATACCCGCATCAAAATACCAGATGCGAAGAGCTGAGGAGAAGGCCGAACCAGTCACATACAAGACTGATCTGACTTGCCGAAAGAGGCTGAGCCGTGGGAAAACTCCCTGGGTTCGGACACCTATCAAGCAGCGTCTGAAAATAAAGGTGGGCCGGCCACCAAGGGACCATAAGGACTACTCTTGTGGGAATGGGCTCCAACCGAGCCAGAACCCGAAGCAACAGCTGGACCAGGAGAAGAGGAACAGGTATCCCCACCTCGGCCAAACCTGCCGAAAGGCATCCACCGTGAATGTCTTGTAGGCGGGTAAGGGCATCACTTAGAATGGGTGACGCCTAAACCACACCGACTCAAAGACGTCCATGGCCAGGAGTCCATACATCCGGCAGAGCCAACGAAATGAGTCGGCGACGACTGGCCAATCCATGAACAGAGGAATGAACCGAGACAGCTGTCCGCCAGGACGCAAGACACACCCCGGACATGAATCTCACAGTTAGCCAAACCCCGAGGATCCAGCAAACGAGCCACTCTGAGGCACCAACCCCATAGGTCAACACCTAAGAGAAACCCTGTGGTTCCGACAAAGAACCGCCAGGGAACAGTCCGATTGGAGCTGAATGGTAGAGCACCGAGTGACCCAAACCCTACGAAGCGCAAACCAGACAGCCACCAACTCCCGAATCGTTCTGTGAGCCCGACAGACGGACAGACCCCCACCATCCCCGGCCGACCTGGTGAGCACTGGTCACAAAGCCCCAGCCGAGAGATGACCCATCCGTGAACACATCGAGCGAAGGCTCGGGGAGGTGCCAAGGCATGGAACCCCGAAAACCTCAAAGAGGAAGCTGGTGACGCAGCACCAACACAAGATCCCCAGAAGAATGAACCCAACGATTGCAAGAGAGGCAGAAGGGGAGTTTCCGAAGGAACCAAACAGACGCCAAAGCCAAACCTGATCCCGCAGGCAGACCAGCACATCAAAGTTCAGACTCCCGCACAACTGCTCGAGCAACCGTTGAGCAACCCGGGACCCCCTCATGAACAGCCGAAGGTGGGACCACAGCCGCAGCAACACTTCTGGAGGGAAAGACAAGGAGTGGCCCAAGAGCCTTAAACAAGGCCCAGCCAGGTCCGAACGCGGGACGGAAACAGATGGAATGGCTTCCAGATCCCCAGGAAACCAAACCCAGCGATCTGGAAGGAACCATCCCCTGGCAAGCAGACAAGTGGACTGACTGGGAGCCCACACCAGCCAGTCGTCGAGGTAGGCCAGACACCGAATCCCAAGCAGACTCAAACATGGCACCAAAATCCGGTAAAGATGCGTAAATACACCAAGTGCCAACTACAAAACAGGGAAGGCAACAAAAGCAGCAAGCCTGAAGCCCCGCCACCAACTGTGCCACTCTTGGAAAACTGGAGAGGAATGTGCCAAGAATTGACCTGGAGGTCCAAGGCCACCATCCAGGCACCCGGCCCCAACAGAAGCCGAACAGGAGACAACAGTCCTCCGATGAGGGGAAATAATCCAGGGCGCAGACTGAAGAAGTCCAGAAGAACCGTAGATTCGGCAGGCCCATGTCTGATGTCTGCAAAGAGCAGACAGGAACCCCAGAAGGATGGAGCGGATCGACCAAGTCCAACGCACCCACTAAGATGACATGACGAAGCGCAGGGAAAGAAGCCCACCCCGCCAGCCCTGAACCCCCTAAAGCGGGAGAAGCCATCCAGTGCCACCACCAGAGGCCGGAAGACAACCAAAAGCGCCCACAAACTGCGGGACCATGCGAGAGTCAACAGAGCAAGCTGCTCCCCCAGCGCCCCGTCAACAGAGAAAGGAACAGAGCCCCTTCCAAAAGAAAAAGTATACATACACATATACATATTATTTATATACATATACACATATACACAAGGTATGTTACACACGTGTGCGTATGCACATTCACATGTGCACACACACAGGGTACACATGTACATGCACATGTGCACACACACAGGGTACACATGTACCTTACCTTGAGGTTACCTTGAGGTGCTTCCGGGGCTTAGCGTCCCCGCGGCCTGGTCGTCGACCAGGCCTCCTGGTTGCCGGACTGATCAACCAGGCTGTTGGACGCGGCTGCTCGCAGCCTGACGTACGAGTCGCAGCCTGGTTGATCAGGTATCCTTTGGAGGTGCTTATCCAGTTCTCTCTTGAACACTGTGAGGGGTCGGCCAGTTATGCCCCTTATGTGTAGTGGAAGCGTGTTGAACAGTCTCGGACCTCTGATGTTGATAGAGTTCTCTCTCAGAGTACCAGTTGCACCTCTGTTTTTCAACGGGGGTATTCTGCACATCCTGCCATGTCTTCTGGTCTCATGTGATGTTATTTCTGTGTGCAGGTTTGGGACCAGCCCCTCTAATATTTTCCACGTGTAAATTATTATGTACCTCTCCC